CGGTGGAAGGAAGGAAGATCCGCGCCTGTTGGAACTTGCGGGGCTCAGGGGCGGTGGGGAGCGATGTCACAGCCCGGACAGCCCTGAGGCCCGGGCGGCTGTCATTGTCCCTGAGTGGCCAGCAGCCGCTTCTGGCTGTGGAGCCCAGTACCTAGAGGCAACCCATCCTTTCACCGCGCCCCCATTTCTCAGCAAGCCATGCTCCCGGGCTAATGGGATGTCACACCTAAGGGCTTTACACGGCTTCCACTTCGTAGATCTAAATATGGAAATGAAGCCAAAGCCAGCAACCCCGAAAGGGAATGGAGAACCTCAAAACCCCAGCACACCGGGGAGCGGTCTCCCTGCCGTTGCTTTTGCTCCTTCCCCTTCGTGCTTTCATTGTAGCAGCACCAGCAGAATTTAAATTCCGCGTAGCACACAGAATCGTTTCCCCTCCGGGCCTTGTCACGTGGCTCCATTTATCGTTTTTTCACCCATTTTAGAGAAGCTGGGCCCACCCTGGTTGCAGGACACTGAGTGGCTATAACTCTCAGAAAAGAGGCCACTTCTTTCCTAGGCGACCTGCAGACACACACGTGGCTTTCAGCCCGAGGAGGAAGGGCTTGCTCTCATGTGGTGCTGTCTGTGTGAGGACAGGGGAAGCCTCTCTCCTGCTGTGGCCTCCGCCATTTATCAGAAGCACCTGGTAACTTCCCCCTGAGATTGTTGGTGCCTCTGATTCTAACAGCCCCTCTGTTCAAAGGGCAGGACAGGAGCGGCTACTCTCAAGGCTACATTCTTGCATCCCCTCCTCCCCTCCATCCCCTCCTCCCGCTCAGGGACAATTTTCACAGCTCGGGTAATCACACCAAGGAGTCTCCCTCCTCCTCCTCAAACAAGCCTCTTTGAACTCTTCATAACTGTCACTCTAAGCACATCTTACAGGTTTGGGCAGACACTGATAAGACACCTCCCTCCGACATCTGCCCGACTATCTCACCCCAAGTCCCCCTCCCTTCCTTGTCGCCTAGCAACAGCAGCCATCGCCCTTTAAAAGAGCAGGCCAGTGTTTATTCCCCGCCCTGGGATCAATTAGCGATGCACCAGCCCTTTCCCTTCGGGGAAAGTAAAACAAACTCTCTCTGCATCTCTCTCCTCTCTCAGCTGTGCATTCTTTCACAGCCCCTCTCACCGGCCAAAACCCTAACACTATTTCCTTAGAAAAACGATTTGCTCTTTGTAGTGGTTACTGACAGCGGCCTCATTTACACTCAGATTAAGATCATCTACTGGTCCCTGAGTGCGGTTCTCGCTTCCCAGGAGAACCCTTTTCAATTGGAGATTGCATTTGCCAGAGAAAACTACAGGAGAGTGGGTGAGAATGGAATTTTCCTATTTGCTCACATTAAGTGTGTGTGTGTGTGTGTGTGTGTGTGTGGTGAAGCAGGGCTCTTGTTCCTAGAATGGACAGTAGAGGGTCCCAGCTTTTCCAGATCCTTTCAAAACTGATCAGTTTAGTCATGAAATAAGCACATGCCCAAGGTTTGAAAACACAAGGGCCACTTTTACTAGTGACTTGTACAAACGGTTACTTCTTCTCTTTTCTTGTCCCCCGTGCCTGTTTATACTTCCTTGTTCATCATAACACTTGAAAACAGCGGGACAAATGTTCCCCATCTGAAGGATGTCTTTGGGGTGGGCTGACAAGATGCAGTTTATGGGCACACCCACACTTCTGGGCGAGGCTCCGAGGGAGGGCCTGCGGAGATGGGCTGCTACTTCCTCCAGCTTGAAGCAGCTACAGCAGGTGGTACAGATACCAGCTTCCACAGCTGCAAGGGATTGAAAGCAAACACCTGATTTACAGATGTTGAGTTTTGACCAAATTATTTCTCCTCTGGGCAAATCCTATCAGGTTGAAACATGAAATTGCCATTTCTATAAGTCAAAAATAGCCCAATCTAATAGTATGTCCCCAGTAAACTACAGCCAGGATAATTTAGAAATTACTAATGATTATCCCAAACAATGACAACAACAACTATGTCATAAGACTGCATTTTGGCAGGTTTGCTTTTACCTTTTCCGAACAGCCTCCGTTTTCCTATCGAGAATGCTGGAGAGTGTTGGGCAAATTGGAGAATATTAACAGTCTGATCGATCCTATGACCTTTGCCAGCTTTTTCCGGGTGACACAGGCGAGAGCTAACTTTTATCTGGGCTCTGCAGAGACCCGACAGCACATAGAAGGGAGGCTCCTTGTTAGAGCTGCAGGATGTGCGCCCTTCACCTGGAGCAGGAGCCTCTGGAATTTTGACATCTAAGGTTAAATGCATAAGGCAGTGGTTCTCAACCTTCCTAATGCCGAGACCCTTTAATACAGTTCCTCATGTTGTGGTGACCCCCAATTTCATTGTTACAAATTGAACATCATTAAAGCATCGTGATTAATCACAAAAACAATATGTAATTATATATGTGTTTTCCGATGGTCTTAGGCGACCCCTGTGAAAGGGGTTGTTCGACCCCCAAAGGGGGGTTTGCGACCCCACAGGTTGAGAACCACTGGCATAAGGGAAGCTTTTGTGGTCAAAGTGTTTCTGTAAAGTAGTTTAAAATAGCTTCTATAGGATGTCAAATCCTGTATAGGTTACCATGTGCTTTGAATCATCAAGTAGAGGGTATAAGGTCTATTTTCCAACAGATCTTTTTAACTGGACCAGAGTTCCTCTGAGAAAGGCTGTGCTAGTCATTGTGGTGCTGGATGATTCTATTTAAAATATCTATATCTATATCTATATCTATCTATCTATATATATATATATATATATACATATATATATGTGTGTGTGTGTGTGTGTATATATATATATAATTGACTTTGGAGAGAGGAAGGGAGAGGGAGAGATAGAAACATCAATGATGAGAATCATTGATCAGCTGCCTCGTGCACATCCCACACTGGAGATCGAGCCCGCAACCCGGGCATGTGCCCTGACCGGGGATCGAACCCTGACCTCCTGGTTCATAGGTGGACGCTCAGCCACTGAGCCCCGCCGGCCCGGCTGGACAATTCTAACCTGCACGCCTCTGCTGGCGTTGGGGGAGCCAGGACAGACTGCCGGGACCGGAGGTGTGCGCAGGCCAAGCGCTGCACATCAGGACCAACGCTGCGTCACAATCTTTAGCCGCCCCCTTGGTGGGCACCCAGCGTCCACAGACAAGGTCAGCTCTGGCGGACAACCTCCGCAGGGTTCTGGATGACAGCCTATTGGAGCCGGGTGCCTCTCCTCGCTCACACATTAGGTCGTTGCTCTCACTGCAGGTAGAAATTACTTCGTTCTCACTCTCCTTTACTTCAATGGAGACCAGATGGCAATGTCCCGGGGCCATGGGAAGAGTTCTTGTAACCGAGAGCCACTACCATGTAGCAACCTACATTCCTAGCTGGCAGTTTGCAGCTCTCCAACTCTGACCATTCTTATTTGGGAGGCTTCATGATTTCCAGGGAAATTGGCGTTTTAAAAACGGATTCTAGAGAGAGGGAGAGAAACAGCGATGGTTGCCCCCTCCTGCATGCACCCTGACGGGGAATTGAACCCGCCGCCTTTTGGTGGACGGGAACGACACTGAGCCACACTGGCCAGGGCGAAAGCAGCACCTAGAATTGGGCATTTGTCAAAACTCCTTGAACTTTAGGTAACTTAAACGTCACTGTTTATAAATTATACTTCAGTAACCCGGCTTTTGAAGATCGGAAAGTTCTACAGTTAGTGTATCCTCATGAGGAAGGCACTTGCCTTAGAGCGTGTGCCTTTTGGGCCAGTTCTGGGGACTGGTTATCGCTGCGGGCAGCTGTGCACTGGAGCCTGGGCGTGGCGAGCAGTCGCTTTCCTGCTCAGGAAGCCGGTGGCGGACATGCCGCTCACATCTCCTGCAGGAGGCCTGGGTCCCGGCTGCTCTTCTCCCCGTGACTGCGGGATGCCGAGGGCGTGCTCTGGGGACGGGGCTCCGTCAGCCTCCCTGAAACTTCCTTAGACCTGCAGCACGCCTGAGACCTTCCGATTCCTTCCCTCAGGTCACCCTCACCCACGCCTCAGGCTGGTCCGGCCTCCGCCAGCTCCCTCTCCTTTTTCCAAATCGCAGTTTCTACCTAAAGCCCTTGTACACCTCATGCCACCCCGGCAACGGCTCCCCAGATGGGACGAGCACACTGGGGTCTGGGTTCTCCCAGGACACCGCCCGGGACGCTCAGCTGGCGGCACTGGCCACACAGCCCTCAGCAGAGCCGCAGTACCATCACTCGTACAACAGCTGTCCGTCTGACCGTGGCTCACGCCGTCACAGGAAACTACTTTCTTTTCAAAAGCCTTCGTTACCCATTTAAGTTAACCCAGAAGACTGCTCCAAAAGGAAGAACTGAAGAGGAAACCCGGGCTTTGTTAAAAGGTCACGCTCTGAACCTGCCTGACGGGTCCCTGCCTAAGAAAGGATGTGCCGGCTACTTCAAAAGAGACAGGAGCTGAGCTGGGAGAGCCACGCGTGCCAGGCGCGAGCCGCTCCCACCAGGGCCCTAGCGGGGTTCAATCCAGTGCTGATGCCAGGAGAGCGGCCGCGGGTTCCCATGGATCGCGTTCCCGGGTTCCCAGCAAGGGCGCCTGGAGCGGCCCGAGGGACGTCCTCAGGCTATGGGGTGGGAGACACACATAAGGCACAATGACATGTCTGTCAGCTACATACATCCTTCTGCATCTTATTCCACTGACGTTGAAAACACCTGTTCTCGTAACTCTTTTCAGTACTCCACTAAGGCATAGCAGAATGTTCGTCCAGAACGAACATGTAGGTGTAAGCCATGTTCCTGCAAGAAATACAAACTTCACCGAGCAATCAGCAGGTGGCACTGTTCTACATCTGAGTATGAGTTGACCTGAGCACACATGCTAACAGCCTCACTACAGCACCTCACCTGAAATGCTCTAATTGAAATTAGTCCCCAGCAAATACAACAAAGGACATAAGTGAAAATTAATTTAATGCTTGGCTAAAGCGTAATTACAGATATCATTATCAAACAATAGTCCTTAATTTCTAAAAAGTTCCTCTTTTGAAAATCACAGAATCAGAAAGCATAAACTTTAAAACAAGTCCCCTGGGTATTTACACCGCGTATAAACATTATAGAAGACCATGGATATTCAGTTGCCTGGGTGTGTGGCGAGTCAGCAAGGCGTATATTTATTGCATATATAACTCACATATGTGGGATTTAAAAGGACAGACACCAAATTCAAATGCATGTACCTGTAAGCTGGTCAGGGAATAAAATCATGAATGAGCCAGGATAGACAGCCCAAAACCATGCAGTTAGGTTGTGGGTCTATTATTTTTAAAAATTAAACTTCCACATTCTTTTGAAAACCCTATGTTGCATGTTGAGTTCCATGAAGCCCAAGTTCGACAAAGTGCTGATGTGGAGGAAGCTCACCGTCGCCCAGTGGTCAAGCCCACACCGACCTCAACGGAGGCAGCACAGCCAGCCCCGCGCTGCTCCCCCACGGGGAGGACGCTGAGCCACTCGCCAGCCCTTGGCTGCAGCAGTGATTTCCCAAGACAATTTGCTGACTAATTTCCTGCTGTTAAAGGCTTACTCTGTAGAAAACCACAAATTTCCAGTGTGAAAGTAACTCCATGGTGGTATAAATATATATATGCATTAATTACACAATTTACACCGCACACATTGTTTACAGAGAACAATTAACTAAGAGGGTTAATTGGAATAACCATATAAAATACTTCTGTAAACAAAGTATGACAGGCAATAAGGGAAGCATTCATAAAACTTCCTTGAAATAATCGGAACTCCTTTCATTCTGAAGAAATCGCATTGAAGGACACAGCATTGGATATTAATAATGTTCTTTGTATTAAAACAAGAATCACTATTTTACAGTGTAAGAAACTTTACATATGTACAGAATCTATACATGAGGAATGGTGCTGAAGCCAGCGGGCTGTTCGGTCTCAGGTCGCCTTTCCTTCCACCAAGGACTTGAATTCCTTCACATTGTGTTCGCCTGCGACAGCCACGGCGTGATCCAGCGCGTGGACACTCGCAAGGAGCTTGATTATCTGTTTTATGTTTTCCCTAAAAGAGAAAAAAAATGTAGTAGCATCCCATTAATTAGTACAAAAGCCCTAAAGGAAAAATTTGTTAACTTTATGACCTTTTTTTAGGTTTTACAATCAGTTTTTCCAAGCATACATTTTTAAAAGAAACAAGCACACTACAGCATATTTAAATTACCCATTTTCAAAAACAAAAACACCCTATAATTTCCTTTAGATCAGGGGTTTTCATTACTACCCAGAATGAAAAAGAAGCAATCTATTTCCCAACTGCCCAGGGCCCTGCCCCCGTTCCTCCCCACACCAGCGCGCTCTCAGAACACCCCGGACTCGGGCCATTTGTCCACTCATCACGGCCCATCGAGACCCGGCACGATCCCCAGGCTCCGGAACCCACTGGTTCCTTAGCAACCTGGCTGGGAGCCATTCTGCCTTCTCGTGAAGCATCTCAGTTTAGCAAACGCAAAAACACCCAGTGATGGCGAACAGTCCCCGGCCCCGCCCAGAGCTGACTCAGCAGGTGGGTGGGCCTGAGATCCTGCATTTCTAACTCAGCTCCCAAGTGACGCTGGAGCTGCTGGTCTGGGAACTGCACTCTGAGATGGACTCTTTAACACTAGTCTGAACCACTCTGAGTGGGTCACACAATGTGACACTGTTGGTGTCTCTTCTTTACAAAATTGGAGTAAGTACCTTTTAGCAAAGGATTAAAATTTGTGAAACTGCAACTGACGTGGAGCCCATCTAATGTCCACTGTACACAGCAGGTGCAGAAAGCCGTTTTCTGTGCAAAAGTCCACACTGTTGATATTTCACTCCAAACAAAAACAGTGTTAAGAAGTGGACAGAACCCAACCAGCTGGCCCAATGGTTGAGCGTCGACTGATGAACCAGGAGGTCACGGTTCGCTTCCCAGTCAGGGCGCATGCCCGGGTTTTGGGCTTGATCCCCAGTTGGGGGTGTGCAGGAGGCAGCCAATCAGTGATTCTCTCTCATCACTGATGTTTCTATCGTTCTCTCCCTCTCTCTTCCTCTCTGAAAAAAAAAAAAAGTGGATAGAATTCACCTAAGAAAACGTAATATTAGTGCTACTAACCACCAACACACAAAATGAAATTAAGATATAAAGCAAAATTACCTGCCAAGGAATTTTAACATGAAAATCTTTACTACCTACTGTGCCTTAAAAAAAAATTATTTTTATTGATTTTAGAGAGAGGAAGGAAGGAAGGAAAGAAGAGGGAGAGAAACATTGATTGGCTGCCTCCTGCATGCCCCCTAACTGGGGATTGAGCCCAAAACCTGGGACAACACTGAACCAGCTGAGCCACACCTACTTTGCTTTTAATTTTATCATAAAAGATAGCAAAATTTCTCTTTGGAAAATAAGGTTCTTTTACATGGAAGAGCAATGAGGAAAAAAATAGGTTTTGTGATAGGGGTATGATTAATGGTATGATCTAAATATATATTTAAAAAAAGTCTGTCCACAAAAAGAAGTCACGATTTATGTATCCCTTTCTTGCAACCTTTGATAACAATGATGTGTAAGCTGCTCCCCAAAACTCTCGAGGGATGACCTTCAGTCTAATGGTAGGAGCACAGAAGCCTTTTCTTAATGCCTTCATAAAAGATCCTATTGAAAAAGATTAGGTAAAACCACAGAAACAGAAAATAATATATACTTTTGGAATGTTTACCAAGACCAAGTCAATGTACAGTTTAAAGTAAAATATAAGCATGTCTTTACTTAAGCCATTTTCTAATACTAAATCTAACAAGTAAAGACTAGGTCACCATTTCATTAAATAATCACAACTAATTACCTTGCATTTCTTTTTTCCACATCAGAGCATCCGATGCTGTTTCTATAAATTGTATCTGCTAAGTGTACGAGGTATCGACAGAAGTTTTCTAACTGAGAAATAGTTCTTTCTCCTTTCAGATTCATGAACCATTGCTTGGGGAAACAATTGATCACCTATGGAGAAGATGCAAAATAAAAGAGAATACACAGAAGTGTCTACAATCGGAGTCTAGATAATGAACTAGAAGACCTGCTACTGGGCTTTATGTAACTAATAACTTTGAAGGGAAATTCTTTCAATCTACAGTAACTATATCATTTTCCTTAATGTACCTGAATTTTTACTTCAACACATAGGTCAGGTACTCAAAGCGAAAGACAAATCATTTGTCCAATATTTAAGTACATTAGGGACCTAACATTGATAACCAAAGGCTTTATTACTCTCTCCAGGCTTCCAGCAGCCCCCGACCGGGATTCTCCTTTACCAGCAGCTTTTGATTAGAAACAAGTGTAGTATAAACACACCACAGAGAGGTCCCCCGAGGGGCACCCAGCGCAGAGCCTACGGCAGCTGGGGAGGACACGCGGCAGCTCACACCCAGGCGAGGGAGGCCGAGTCCCGCCGGGGAGAGGACAGCGCTCCCCGGAGTCAGGCGCCTGTGTAGACAGGAGGCCCGAGCCCCAGAGAACCAGGGACGCTTGGAGAGAGGATGATCCCAGGGCTGGGGCTGAGCAAGTCCCAGATGGCCCCGAGCATCAGTGCTCCCCCCAGAATGAGAGGACATGGCACAGGTCACAGAAGTCCACTCGGAGGGACGGCCAGGATGACATCTGGGATCACTGTGGCCAATGACACAGAACCTGAATCTCACGGGAGAGTATGCGACAAACCCAAACTGAGGGACATTCTACAGAAGAACTGGTCTATCATCTTAGAAAATGTCACGGTGAGGAAGACCACGAAGAGACGGAGGAACCTTCCAGATTAAAGGAGCTGGGAGAGACTGACAATCAATGCAAGAGGTGGCTGGGGACCTCTCTGGCCCATCCTCACTATCACTGATAATGGCCCAGGTGGAGGGTTTCAGCGTCAGGTGACAGAGGCACACAAGCTGCTCCTGGTGCCGAGGTTACACTGTAGCCACGAAGAACAGCCAGGTTTACAGGCAACAGACAGAGCACCTGAGGGCGGGGCACCTCGGACAGACTGGCATTGTCCGGGAAAATCTACATTCGCAAATCTGCTTTAATTTTGTGATTGTTTCAAAAATATTTTTTAAAAGATCAAATTAGGGAACTCCCATATAAAGTAGGAACAAAACAATATTAAAAAAAATCATTTCTTAAGTTAGAAAATGAACTATTTCTTTAGTAACATTCATAGTAACATTCAAAATAGCATTCATTCAACTGTTAAAAAATTACCCTGAAATTGAAACTTTTATTAATACTGATATTCATAGATGAGCAGATAGAAATACACATATACAACAATACAAATTTTATGCAAAAAATGCTGTGTTAGGTTGTTTGAAACTACCTGGGTCAACCTCACACTAAGTCCAAAAATCAAAGGAGTTTTCGTAAAATCTCAAATTTCTCTTCAAACAAAGAAAACAATTCATGTTAACGTATGTGCCTTGAAAACAATAATATGTGTCATTTAACTCACATTTTGGGCTTTTTTTATGCTGTCATCTCCATATTCTGAATTCTGAAAAGCCATGAGAATATATCTATTTAATAAGCCATCTATTGATAACTCCTGAAGAGTTTTATTGGAGAAAATGCCATACCATTGAAGAAAATTCCCTAAGAGCTAGAAAGAAAAAAAAATAGTGAGGGCAATGTCAAGCAATTAAATTAGGTACAAAATACATTAATTACTAGCAAAATAAAACACCATTAGAATACAGTAAACCCGTCTTGCAACAGCACTAGTAAGCACGTTTAAAGGGCCCAAATACTTCCTAGGACAGTGATGGCGAACCTTTTGAGCTCGGCGTGTCAGCATTTTGAAAAACCCTGACTTAACTCTAGTGCCGTGTTACATGTAGAAATTTTTTGATATTTGCAACCATAGTAAAACAAAGACTTATATTTTTGATATTTATTTTATATATTTAAATGCCATTTAACAAAGAAAAATCAACCAAAAAAATGAGTTTGCGTGTCACCTCTGACACGCGTCATAGGTTTGCCATCACTGTCCTAGAACGAACCATTTCAATTTCAATTTCAATTTTTAATTAATTCAGGCGCCACCCTTTCTGACTGCAACACTTGTGTTTACCAGATCTCGGGAGCCTGGCCTGAGCGAGGTCACCGGACGGCTGCAGCGCCTCCCGCTCAGCCCGTGTGATCTGCAAGCCGTCGTCAAGGCAAGCCCACCGCCCGCCATGTCTGTTTCCCGTATTTCTCACTCAGTGAATAGGAACACTATCCACCAACCGGTGGGGCAGAAGCTGGTATCATTCTCCAGCTCTCCCTCCAGGTAGGTTTGACCCCAGCTCCACCCAGGCCGCCCGTCTCTCTCAGCTCCCTCTGCGCCCCCCTGAGCGGGGCCCCCAGCCTCCCTCCTATCACTCCGGTGAGGTGAGCGGGAGCCTGGCTCAGCTCTCAGCAGGGCTGCCGCAGGGCCCCATGGTGTGGGTGCTGGATCGTCCCGGGATGGTGCACGGCTAGTGCCACTCTAGATGCGAAGGAAAGGAGAGTCCATCCTCCCCCCGGAGGCCGGAGGGCATCGGGACTCATTCTTTCACGGGCCCCACTGAGAAAAGCTGCTGCAGAGCCAGCCTGGCCGGAGCGGATTCCCTCACTCCCCTGGAGACCAGGCCTCACTGTCCGTCAGCAGGAACAGTCACGGGCCTTGAGGATCCAACAGGATCATCTACATGAGGAGTGGCCCAGAGCTTGGCTCACAGTTGAAAACACAGTCAATACTCATTTCCATTTTCATTATTACTATCCTTCCTGCTTTAACCCAATATCTCCAAAATTTTGTTCATGTCACTTCTTGCTATAAAAACCCTTCTATGACCCCCACACACGGTCAATTACTTCCCACAAAGATGAAAAGCAATTTAATAAAGACCAGTCTTTTCGAAACAGTGCTACCACAAATGAACTTCAAACCAGGCCTCACACTCTGTATAAGAAGCAATATGTAAATGTGAAACCTAAAGCTAGGGAACTTCTAGAAGTTCCAGAGAAAAACATGGTGGCCTGGTGTTAGGCAAATACTTCTTGGAACACTGAAAGCACAAACCGTAACAGGAAAAAGCAATAAATTGGACTTTTGTCAAAATTAAGAATTTCTGCACATTTACACAGTGTTAAGAGAATGAAGACAGTCCTGGCTGGTGTGCTCAGTGGTTAGAACATCAGGTTTGATTCCCAGTCAAGGGCATGTACCTGGGTTGCAGTTTAATTCTCCCACCCAGTCTGGGCATGTTTGGGAGGCAACCAATCGATGATTCTCTCTCTCTCTCCTTCTCTTCCCCACTTCCCTTCTACTTTATGTAAAAGCAATGGAAAAATGTCTTAAGGCAGCGGTTCTCAACGTGTGGGTCGCGACCCCTTTGGCGGTCGAACGACCCTTTCACAGGGGTTGCCTAAGACCATCCTGCATATCAGATATTTACATTATGATTCATAACAATAGCAACATTACAGTTATGAAGTAGCAACGGAAATAATTTTATGGTTGGGTCACAACATGAGGAACTGTATTTAAAGGGCCAGAAGGGCCCTGGCTGGTGTGGCTCAATGGGTAGAGCGTTGGCCTGTGGGCTCGATCCCCAGTGGGGGGCGTGCAGGAAACAGCCGATCCATGGTTCTCTCTCATCATTGATGTTCCTATCTCTCTCCCTCTCCCTCCCTCTCTGAAATCAATAAAAATATGTTTAAAAATAAATAAATAAAGGGCCAGAAGGTTGAGAACCACTGTCTTAAGGTGAGGATAATAAAAACAAAAAACCAAACAAAAAAAACACCCATAAAAACAAAAAACCAACAAAATAAAACAACAAAAAAAAGAAAATGAAGACAAGCCAGACTGCAGAAAAAAGAAAAACCCTTTGCAAATTGTTTATTCGATAAAGGACTTACTAGTATACCTAGAATATAGAACTCAAAGCACAATAAGAAAACCCAATTTTAAAAAATGGGCAAAAGATTTGAACAGATACCTCACCAAACTACACACACAGGTGGCGAATACGCACTTGGAAATGCTCAGCACCCCCAGGCATTAGGGAGCTGCCCACGAAAACCGTACGAGATGCCCTGCCCCCAACAGGACCTCAAACACAACCCACCAGACCACCGGCAGCAGCAAGGGCGTAGTGGTGAGAGTGAGGAAGAACGGAGTAACTGGACCACTGACAGTGTTGGTTTGCCTGGGTCACTTACCCAAGTGAAATGAAAACTTATTCCCAGGAAAACCCGTGTGTGAACACTTATGGCATCTTTATTCTAATTAGCACAAATCGGAAACTGTCCAAATACCCCTCAACTGAGGAGTGGATAAAAAAACAAAGAAACTGGTGTATCCACTAAACAATGGGCTACTACTTAGCAATAAGAAGCAATGACCTACTGATAACATAGGACACTGAAAAACCTCAGATCCATGTTAAGTGAATGGAGCCAGACTCAAAAGGCTACTGACTATGTAATTCCATTCATATGACATTCTTGCCAAAACAAACAAACAAAAAACCCCCATCCTATCTAATAATAGAGAAACATGGTAATTAGCCATACCTCCGCTACCCTTCCCATTGGCTAATCAGGGCGATATGCAAATTAACTGTCAACCAAGATGGCGGCCGGCAGCCAGGCAGCTTGAAGCTAACAGGAGGCTTGCTTGCTTCAGTGACAGAGGAAGCCAACGTTCCCCGCCTGCGGCTGCCGGCCTCTGAGCTTGCAGTCTGAAACATTGTTACAAATATAGAAGCTAAACAAAACCCCAGAAACCTGCTTTCAGCTAGCCGGGATCTCAGAGCTGGAGTTGAAACAGTGTTTCGATTATAGAACCCAAACAAACCAGATACCTGCTTTCAGCAGCCAAGGCCTCAGAGCTGGAGCCAAGCCTCAGAGCTAAAGCTGGCCCAGAATAAAAAAAAAAGAAAAAAAGGACAGGTTGGGAGCTTCAGTCACCTGCCAGCCTGAAAACGGCCCTCAGCCACTCACCCAGACTGGCCAGGCACCCCAGTGGGGACCCCCACCCTGAAGGGGGTGTGACCAGATGCAAACAGCCATCAGCCCCTCACCCAGGCTGGCCAGGCACCCCAGTGGGGACCCCCACCCTGATCCAGGACACCCTTCAGGGCAAACCAGCCGGCCCCCACCCGTGCACCAGGCCTCTATCCTATATAGTAAAAGGGTAATATGCCTCCCAGCACCGGGATCAGCGGAGCTGCGAGGCCTCCTGGCACCGGGATCAGCGTGACAGGGGGCAGCGACCAAACCCCCTGATCGCCCTGTGGCTCTGTGTGTGACAGGGTGTGGCGCCCCAACCCCCCCCCACAGGCCCTGCTCTGTGTGTGACGGGGTAGAGCCATAACCTCCCCATTGGCCCTGCCCTGAGTGTGACAGGGTGCGGCGCCCCAATCCCCTGATCCGCCCTGCTCTGTGTGTGACAGGGGGCGGTGCCCCAACTCCCCTATCGGCCCTACTCTGTGCGTGACAGGGGGGAGCTCCTCAACCCCCTGATGGGCCCTGCTCTGTGCGTGACAGGGAGGAGCTCCCCAACCCCCTGATTGACCCTGCTCTGTGCGTGACAGGGGGCAGCGCCCCAACCCCAATTGGCCCTGCTCTGTGAGTGACAGGGGGCAGCGCCCCAACCCCGATTGGCCCTGCTCTGTGAGTGACAGGGGGCAGCGCCCCAACCCCGATTGGCCCTGCTCTGTGCGTGACAGGGGGTGGCGCCGCAACCTCCCCATCGACCCTGCCTTGAGTGTGACAGGGGGCAGTGCCCCAACCCCCCAATCGGCCCTACCCTGAGCGTGACTAGGGGTGGCATCGCAACTTCCCGATCTGCCCTGCTCTGTGCATGACAGGGGGCGGCGCCCCAACTCCCCAATTGGCCTTGCTCTGAGCCCAACCAGGGGCTGCACCTAGGGATTGGGCCTGCCCTCTGCCACCCGGGAGCAGGCCTAAGCCAGCAGGTCGTTATCTCCCGAGAGGTCCCAGACTGCGAGAGGGCACAGGCCAGGCTGAGGGATCCCCCCTCCCCCCCGAGTGCACAAATTTTTGTGCACCGGGCCTCTAGTCTATATATAAAAGCCTAAGCAACCATTTGACTGTTAGCTATGACACGCACTGACCACCGTGGGGCAGACGCTCAACGACGCACAGGCATGGAAACATTGAACAGACTGATGAATCTCAGAGGGAAGGGGAGAGGTTGGGAAGAGATTAACCAAAGATTTTATATGCATACCAGAGGCCCCGTGCATGGATTCGTGCACTGGTGGAGTCCCTCGGCCTGGCCTTTGGGGATCAGGCCGAAACCAGCAGTCTGACATCCCCCGAGGGGTCCCAGATTGCGAGGGCACAGGCCAGGCAGAGGGATCCCACTGGTGCATGAATCCGTGCACCGGGCCTCTAGTAGGACCATAAAAAGGAGTGGCCAGGGTGTAGGGTGGGCTTGATCACAAAGGGGCATGGGGAATTTCGGGGGACGATGGAAGTGTTATATGTCTTGATTTGGATAGTAAGCATATGACTGAATTCATTCATCAAAACCAACAGGACTATACACTAAGGAGTAAGTGTTACTGTGTGTAGACCACAGTTTCCCAGGACTTGGTGCTCCTGCCTCATCCTCCCTCTCTTGAGCCACCCTGATTTCTCAGTTCTTCCAGTGAACCCTCCCCTCTGGTCTAATAACCTGCATGTGGCTTCCTCAGAGTGAAAGGGGTCTCCGTGCATTGGTCACGTGCTGCCCCTGCTGGACCCTCTCCCACACCTGAGATGCCTGGCCCCCCCTGTCGGCTCTGCGGATGACAAACTGCAGGAAGGCTCCACTGCTGCTTACTGGGCGCCTTATTCCCACACTCACAGTGCCGAGCACTACTTTTTGAATAAACTGTGGGTGAGCAAGGCATTCTGCTGACTAGCTTGCATCTTACTTCATTTTCTCCTACGGAAACATTAAACCTGAATAAACTGTTGGAAGAAAATCATCTTGCAAAATGGAGACTTTGTATATATACACAGATCTAAGCCTAAGGAGTTAATCAAATATAAAAATAACTTTCAAGATATAATATATAAAGTCAAGCAAATCTGAAGTCTTTTGGATACCATAGATACATACCTTAACTGAAGACCAAAACTGCCGTTGAAAAAACAAGTAAGGCCCCGAGTTTTTATTTTCTAAGACACTGAAAGAGAAACACACCATGCTCAAGTGTTTTATACAGACAGTACCAAGATTCCTAGAAGAGAGAACGTCTACAAGTAAAATGAGTAAGCAAAGAATTAAGTAGCTTTAATAATTTTAAGAAGCGTTGGGAATGTATTCTGGGCACTGAGGGAGAACAAAGCATCACACGCTTTATTCTAGTTAAGGGACAATGTCCCTCTGAGCTCGTCTCCTCGGCGACAGGCTCCCACCACAGAGGTCAAGTGCATCTTTTAAGCGACCGCTCGTCTTTCCAAGTCCCGGAAGCCTCCTCTGGAAGGTAACGGAGCCTGTCACCACCCTTAGCATTCTCAGGAGCTCCGTGTGACTTACTTTTTGGGATATAAGGGCATGAATACATCATCATCTAAAGTTCTCCTCATTCTCAGCAAGAGCGCTTTCAGATACACCTGCAGAGTGAAAACAGATCACACGCTGTAGCAAGGGCTATGGTAGAGCTAAGCAGCCATATTCCAACCAAAGAATAAGTACCAATTGTGAGTGGACTCTCCTCTCCGTTCCCCTTTCCTCTGAAAGCCCCCAGTCTCCAGAACCCCCTCTCCTATTAGTCCCGCCTCAGCAACGACAAGGCAGCAAAGCCACTCAGAGCCCTTCGAGCTCTCCACCTGCGTGCAGACTTAAGACCAGGCACATGATCCGGTTCTGCACGGAATGACATCACTGAAAACTTAACGACGACAAGAGCACCTTTTCCGTGTCTAAATGGCATAAAAATGCCCGACGAGGGACAGCAGCAATCTGAAGTTTGGAAACTAGTGATACAACAATACCTAGTGTTTACAGGCTATTTAAACATTTTAGCACTAAATAATCAATCAGTACCTATTCTAGTAGTTTTACATTGTTCTTTCCCCAACAATACAGCTCTTACAGGGATATTTGATTAGTCCCACGGGGAGTTAGGGTGGGGTGGTAAGAAGGTGAAAACAGTAAAATGAAGGGGGTGTCTGGACTCATTATAGCACCTTCCGAGGCAGGGACTTTGCACTGAGAACTATAATCTAAATGGTGTGAACGTGAGGCTTTATAAAGGACCAGATGGCCCAAGTGGGAGAATCCACTTTCTCGCTGACTTAGAACATAACCCCTCATTCTCTCCACTCCAGCTCATTTTCAAAAGGAGAGAAGAAAACAAAAAAAACCTCTCAAAGATAATAATTAAGTTACCTGTGTGTTTTTGTTTTCTGCATTCGCTACTGAAGGATATCCATTTACTAATTTTAACGTGATTCCAACCATTCTTGAAGTCTGTGTTGTAGAAAAGGGGTCCCACATGTGTTCAGCGATCACTAGAAGGAAAGGGAGAAGGTGCTGAGCCGCAAATGTCAACTGCAGCGACTGAAACCTGACGCCGAGCAGTCCTCAGCTACACACATGGCTTTTCTTCTTCTCTAGAGCATCAGCCTATGTCCACTGTCATAAGCCTTTGGGATGCTGAGGGCTAGGAAAAGTGGAGGGGATAAAGTCCTCCATCTTTTGCTAATCAGTGAAAATAAATTCGGGGGAAAGATTTCAATATCCTAAGAAATATTGTCCCAGCACCAAGAATTTCTAACTAAAAAAGCTGAAACTTACTTTTAATACTTTAAATCAGTTCCTGCATCAATTATTTCTAATCTCATGAGAAACTGATGAAAGTAATGAAATTGCTCTCCAGAAAAAGGCATATGCCCCCAAATGTATGTTTTGTTTCCGGCAATCTTTAAAGGTCCCTCAAGCTTGTCAACAGATCCATTACTGTCCCAACTCCAGGCCCCTCCAAGATGGTCTTCCAGTCCCAGCTGACTCTGGCCCAGGGTAACTGTCCTTTATAACGGACTGTCCCCGAGGAACATTCTGTAACGGAGAACCCCTACCTGTGAGCTTAGGGAGGATCACCTTCTCCACAATGGTGGGCAGCAGCGCAATGTCCACGTCCTCTCTCTCCTGCTCTCGCTCTTCACAACCATAAAACAGCAGCGATTCAAACCACAGCATATTCTCAAAGTCCCGACACTTGGCCTACAAGAGATTAACAAGATCACCCAGACACATTAAACTGGTGGCTGCAGCTGCTTCGAGCCATTAGAAGAGGAAGACCTGGACTTAACCTTCAGTCACAAACAAGTGTAAACTGGACAAAATACAGGAAACGTCCACTTTCAGACAACGCGCCTCAGGCGGTAAGGACGCGGCCCCGGAAGAAGGGTATTGGATGAGGTGAGCTGCCCATCAGGCGGGCAGGGTGGGGGCTGCAGGCGGGCAAGAACTTGCTGAGCTCAGGAGACAGAAACTGGGGTTCAGGGAGGCGGAGACTCTGGGAGCTGCGGGGCAGAGGAGGAGCTCCTCTTGGAGAACTCCAGAATGCACACAGGTCCTCAGGAGCCTTGGCCGTGTACTGTGCACTCACACACACGTGCACACAGGTCCTCACAGGCCTGTGCTGAGTACTAACGTACACATGCATGCGGGACACTCCATAGGTCTGGCAAAGAGCGACGGGCTGTGAGCTGGATCGTTCTAGAGCTCACAGTTTTTTTCAATCGTTTCCAGAGCTTCAACCTCAATCCCTTTTCACTAGTTTAAACGTTCAACCCAACCAATCACATTCGTGCCCATTCATATGTTGGTAACTTCCAAAATCCTATCCTAAACACAACCACTAGACATCTGTAGTCAGTGCTGGTCCCCGCTCTCAGATCTGAGGCCAGCAGGCCTACTGACTCCGCCTCCTGGTCTATCACCTTGCTCATCGGTTCAGGCCTGCATTTCACCTGCGCTGCCCCGTGAGGCTCTAAGCTCAGGCTCGAAGGACCAATTCCTCCCACCCAGGCCTGTTCCCATTCCAGGGTCACACGTGTAACTGAGTGGCTGAGAAAGGCGCCGCACACAAACGGGAAAGCAGCAGAGCGCTCCCGAGTGGAGCGTAAGGAGAAGGTCCTCGATGCAGGCCAGCTGCAGTCGGCGCCAACCACAGCCCTGCGCGCTCTCCCGGGGAATGTTTAGCTCAAGCGTTCATCTCTCGCTCAGAGATGAGCGTTCCCAGGCCGCGTGGACGTGGCTTTCAGGCAGGGACGGAGCCACCCACCTCCAGAGGAGTCCAGGTGAGAAGCTGCAGCCGTATGAGGGGGTTGAACAGCTTGGGCAGACAAAGGCCGATGTAAGCATCCTTGTAGGACGTGTAGTATCTTGAACGCCAGGCTTCAAACTGGGATTTAATGCAGTCGATGGAGTAGAAGCTCTCCAGGACATCTTCAAACACCTTGCTGGACTCCTTGGAAATGCGATCTGAAAACAACACCCCCCACAGAGAACACGGTTCAGTACGGAACAGAGAAAGCACCGGTCGATGGTTTTCTGTGTAGCCCGGCTCATTACCACCAGGGGGAGGAGGCACAGGGAAGCTTAGGTTTCGTCCACAGCGCAGGCACTCTTCCTTTTGCACGGCCCCAGCAGGTGCCATTTTCTATGACGCGCTTTAGTTCAGTATCACCTGTCCCTCAGCAATTCAGTGCAAACTTCAGTGACCATGGTGCCCTCGCTGAGTAACCCCATCAGCACCAACTATGCTGCTAGCCCTGCAGTCCACAAATCACTGTCAGAACACATGTGCGTCCGAATCAGTGACCAACCGTGCGACTTCTGTCCAAGTCAGCTGGTGACGGCGATGAAGTCAGACAAGAATCAGTGCCAGAGCTTAGGGTCTGTCAGGGGAAGGCCATCCGATGCCCCAGATGAATTGGGAAAGGGCGGTCTTTACCATGGAGAGATCTCGTGTGACAGCCTACTTCTCAAAATCCATCTTACCATGCTAATAGTGGGACTATGTGACATTTGTCATCTGCTATTATGCAATAACAAACAGCATTTGTATGAAGTATTCTTACCAAAAAAATAATAACAACTTCAATCTAATCAAGGGCTCAAACCTAAATTCCAGTTTACAAGAAATACAGTGAATGGAGGAACAAGCTAATACCACGAGCAAACAGACAAATCTAGAATGTCGGACATTTTGCAAGACAAGTGGCCTGCTCTTTTCAAAAAGTGCATGTCTTAGACAAGCAGATGGATAACAGGGGTGTGCGTGTGCATGTCAAGCACGGGCGATATTAATTCCAGAAAAAAAGCGCTAACAACCAAATGCTGGGTAGGAACGGCGTGTGGACCCTGGTCTGGAAACCACAGAATAACTCACAAAAAAGGTATCAAACTTTTGTGGGGACTGCTGCTGAGGAAAACAGATGATGTTAAGAAGTGTTAGTTCCTTTTCTAGGTGCGAAGTGGCATTGTGATAAGGTAAAAAATACACTTGTTTCTAGGAGACACACACTGAAGCTTTTAGGAGTGTCAGGATGTCTGTGGGTTAACTCTCAAATGGTCCAGCAAACACCATCTATAGACAGTCTGTCCGTCTATGAAGAGCCAGAGCGAGCCTGGCAGCGGAGTAACAACGGTAAGGGCTGGGGGACAGGTGCGTGGTAACCACTGGGCATCCTGTTCACTATGAACAAGTTCCGAGAGGGCTGCAGCGACTTCACTCCACATCGCGCCCATGGGGAGGAAGGGCTTCCACTCGGGGACCCTCTGGAAATGCCTGGCGCAGACCAACCTTCCTCTTGGTGGGAACGACTCAGGGCTCCCAGGTCGGGAGTCTCCCCGGCTGCAAGCTCCACCGCCAGGCTTACCTCCCAGAAGACAGGCACCCTTGGACCTGACACCACTGTGGGTCACTTAGGCTTCCCAAGTTAAGCAACACTTGCTGTGCAAGTTCCCGTAACCCATGACAAGGTCACGGCTATTCTGAGAGCTCATCATGATGCTCATAGTGAAGATGGGTCCAGATGGGTCCAGTTTGCACAATCGGCTCTAATGAGGCCACGGACCTTCACACCATCCCCTCCAGGTAAAAGCCACAGCCCAGCAGGACCCCAACTGACCACAAAGCTCATTTCCAAACCAATGGCTGACCTTTCTCCAGGTTGAAGTTGGTGATGTCTGTGGATGTCTCCTCGTCGTCACTGGAGAGGCCTTCCAGGTGATCTGCCATTTTCCCCGTTTGCTCCCTGGCTTGTCGACGCCGAGTCCTAAACAACAAACACCGAGTTCCACACCAGACCAGAGAGCCGTCCCCGCCCAAGCAGCCAGCCGCCGGCGCCGTTACCTCCGGGCCTCGCGCTCTGCGATCCGCCGCTTTGCGTGCTCCTGATACAGGGCCCGATCGCGCCCAAAGGAATCGAGATTTGGTGCCATCAGAGCCTTATCTGTAAAACAACAATGGTCACAATGAGAAGCCTTCTCCGACCATCCTGAGGAAAGAGTTTGCACAGAATCAGTCACACGACAGACCGCTTGCTAATCCAACAGCAGGATCTGCCGAGCCTGATGGTACCCAGGTCGCTTTCCAGCCCCCAGCAAACCCCCTATCGCTGTTCTCACAAAAAGGAGCAGAGCAGGAAGTTCAACGACCCTGCATGAGTGCACCTGGATTCAGTCCCTATCTTTATCTCTAAGTCACAGAAGCTGATGCTATCATGACATTCAAGTAAGAAATCTACATTACCTCTGCAGAGGGCAAATACGACATGCTGAATGACGTGAAATGACAGGAAAGAAACACACGGAGGATGAGAAAACAGCTCTGCTGCAGTGTAATAATGTATTCTACCTCTGCTGTGCAGAAATGGGTTCTCTATAACCACTTTCAGAACCAGGGCGGAATCACCATGGAGACTGAAAACTCCCTACCAGGACCAGCTTCTGCTTCTCACACACTGCTCTTCCAAAGCACAGTTCCCTTCTTTCTTCTCTTTCCCTATTTTCCATCTCTCTTTTTTTAACTTTCTAGGGCAACTTTTTAGCTTTAGCTTCCAACCTGCCTATTTAAATTTATTTTCCGTTTCCGTATTTTCTGTTTCCAAGGGGCGGTTCTTGTTCTTACAACCCTCTTTCCTACAGCATCCTCTGCCTGCCTTCCGTGCGGGAGACCCTTCACTGTCCCCGAGATCAGTTCAGGTGACCTGCCACCTGCACTGCCTGTTTCCTCGTCCCCCTGGTCCCCTGCCTGGGGCCCTATCAGCTGCCTCACATAAAGACGATGGGAGGTCTGTGGACAGCGGAAGCTAACACCATCTCCGTCAGATCGCTGGGGAGAAACTCAACTCTTTTGTTGGGGCCCAAGACTGTCTCAGGGTCTTCTCTCCAAACCCATTCTTTCTCCAGAAAAGCATCCTCGCATCTCTGAACATCTGTCTGCAATGCCTCCTCATCTACATTTCTGCTCCGCACTATGAAGGCGCTCTGCAACAGTCAGTCCTCACTAGCCCGTCCAGTTTACCACAGGCTGACTGCTGTGAACAGAGGTAAGTTCCCACAGCATCTCCTCAGCGCTATAACGAAATATTCAAGGACCTGCTGTAATAGCAACGGGAAGGAAACAACCCAAGGGTTAGAGGGGGAATCACATGCTAAATGAAAGCAAGCATAGCTCCTGCCCCCACATGTGTCACCAACAGCAGCAACAGGAAAAAGAAAAACAAAGACTAGTCTTCTACACGGCACCATCGAACTATTCCAGACCATTATGTTTTTAAAGCTGACTTTCTGACTGGGTTTTTCATTCACATTTCAAAATAGCTCAGGTAGCAGGAAGGACGCTCCAGCTCTCACAGATGATAGAGAGGTGAGTCCAGGACACAAGAGGCCCAGCCTTCCCTGCGGAGTGAGTCCCCACACCACACATGAGTGAGCTAAGGAGGCCCAACCACAAAACAATTCCTGCCTCTTTAAGAGGGACCCTTCATTGAAGGAGTATTTTAAAGAATATCCATTACGATAATACGTATTTTAAATGTTGCCATGTTTATGGGTTTTATAAAATACCTATGTTGAGGGGATGTGAGTTGGCGGCTCACGTGACAGCCCGGCATCTCTGTAAGAACCACATGCCGTCACCGTGACCGTGTTCGCAAATGGGAAGAGATGAACTCCAGGCTTGTTTGTTTATAACAAGATCAGAAATGGAATCAGTGCTTCAGTGCCCCCTGTAATTTCCCTCAAATCTTTGGCAATTAATGAATACTTCCTCCAGGGCAGTATTTTTTTCACTCTCTCATCACCTTTCAATTTCTAACGCTCAATCTAATTAACATACATCATGTATGTAAGTAGCTCCAAGTGATAAAGAACAGCTTCTAGGTAGGAAAAGGCATCGGAGGAAATGCCCAGCTCGCACAAACCATGTCACTTAGAGGGAGTCACTTCCTGTGCAGGTGTGCTGGTTACCTGGGATCTGCCCCAGGATTCTGGTTCTGTCTGGACCAAACTGACCTTGGAGGGATGCAGGTGTCACTTAGGTGCCCGATTCAGAAACTCTCCAATGGAAACTTAGGTGGCGGAACTAAAGGTCCCAGCCATGCCCAGGGCTTCACCTGAGCCTGACTCTCTGTAAGGACGTTACCCCTTTACGATGCTCTAACGACCAGGACAGGCGGCTTCCTCAGGGACCTCAGGACAAAGCCTGGTTTTCAGAAAGGACACCCGGGCCCTGAGCCTGGATGAGCTGGGGCGCGTTTCACGTGCAGCTTACTTGCCTCCACCCAAGACCTAGCAAGTGTCTCGGGGAGGGTGGGAAACCTGCACTTCAATGAACGCCCCGCCCCGGGCAATTCGGACGGCACTTCCACCTGAGAACGCTGACTCGGGACAGAGATGACAAAAAGCCACCGGCAGCCCAGGCTGGGAAAACTCCCATCCCAGCACCCAACCAGGTGCAGGGCCATGGGAAAATGGGATCAAAACGTTTAAAACATCTGGTCAAAGAATCTCAGCTAAACTAGTTAATAAGAGGTTTCCAATTAATTTTGGTTTTCCAAAACACTCATCATAGTGAAAGAGAGAAATTCAATTTCTAATTTTTACACTAATATTTCAAGAAATATAGGTACCGACTTACTAAAAATCCTAGTGCAGCATATTAAGATAGACTGCAAAATACAAATGATTTTTAAATAAAAAAAATTGCTTTATCCAAGGGGTGAAATGCAAAACTCATTTATGTAATAAAACCCTCGGGCCCCCCAATTCCGCCCCCAATGCAGGCTTCACTGTGAGCAGCAGCGCTGCACTGGGGCCACGGACAGGACGAAAATGGGGGCAAAAATCAGCCAGAGCCAGACAGACAGTGGCTTTAAGGTAAAACCTGGGGTGGCTTTGCGACTCTAGGGGATAAAAATATGCCGAGGAGGAGTGAGATGGTGGAGACAGAGCAAGTTCCTGAGCTCCTTTGTGAAGCAGTATTTTAAAACACAACCCAGGCACATGCTGCTGTAATTTTCAGATCTGTCTAACACAAGAGCAAGGGAATTCAGTTATTTTAAAAAAAAGGAAAACAAAGCTGTTCTGAGATCTAATTTTCAATTAGGCTGTGCTAAGTAAACAAGGTTGTTTAATGAATAATAAAAACCTTCAAGATGGACTGACTTGAATGGCTTGAAAACTCCGAAGATTCATCTTTAATATCATCTTGTCGTCTTTGGACAAGGCGGGAAGCTCGCTGTTTGTACAGCTGATGTATTGATGATTCAAGTTCATTAATCAGTGGCACCTGTGAAAATACAACACACTCCGTAACACCAAACTCCTCGGCTGCTCACGTCCTTGAGGGCTCCATACTACTTCCGGGTTTCTGAAAAAGTCCCCTCTATGGACAGAATCATCATGAATTCCCAGTGGGACACCAATAGCAATGCAGTTAGTTCTATGCTGTTTAGGAATCATCACTCCTTTTAATCCGTACATAGCGCTATCATGTCCGGTGCCTAGTGACTGGAGCAAAAGTTTGGTTAGGAAACTTAACGCTTTAATATTAGTGAAGAAATGCGGAAGTCTGATTGCATCTCTTTAGAATAAAGTCCTTGGCAGTCTTTTCACATCCAGCTGTAACTTCCCAGCAGCACGCTCTGCCCTGCAGTCTCCTAGTTTAAAATAACCCGTTACCCCTGACACCAAAGCCTGCGTGGGCTGAGCAGGAGGACAGGGTCTCACTGCCACCTGAGCGCTAAGCTGCTCGGCGCTCAGAGGGGCCTGACTGCAGCTTCACTCCACACCCTTCACGTAATCCGCACTCGCTCACGAACAGGGCAAGTACCGCTCTGGCTCTCACTAGCGTGTCAGAAAGCTCTTCCCGTGTTTCCATACTTTATAATAAATAAGTCTTCACGCGAATTGTCACTATCCATGGCTACACATTCACATGGTTCATATAGAATACCAAAGCTGACAGAATAAAGATCTAACTTAAAGAGGGGAGAGCAGCCCTGGCCGGCGTGGCTCACTTAGATGGGCGTTACCCTGGGCACGAAAGGCTGCCGGTTCGATTCCCGGTCAGGGCACATGCCGGGGCGGTGGGCTCCATCCTCAGATGGGAGGCAGGCAGGAGGCAGCCTATCGATGTTTCACTCTCACACCGGTTTCTCTCTCCCTCCCGCTCTCTCTCTAAAAATCAATTCAAAAGATCTTAAACAGAATAGGTCTCTGTATAACCTTCTGTTATAACCAAATGTTATGAAACTTTCACAAAACACTAACGCTCACTGCACACACCCGAGGAGACCAGAAACTCTAGTTCCCAGATGGTCAGTGCAAATGGACACATCAGTGAGCCTGGGACACCGGCACCAAGTGTGACAGCCGCTTCCTGAGCGGGACAGACTGCGGATGGGAAGTAAAGGCAGGTGGGACACAAGGACGCCTCACAGAAGCAACGCACACACTGCACGGCTCCACCGCAGACGGAGCTGAGGGCGCGGGAAGGTCGTTCCTTCTGACACGCCACCCTCTGGGCAACGTGCCCCAAATAGGCACTGATTACCGCTGAGCCCAGAGACTGCCTTTAAAATGGACCATCATCCATTTCCTAAGCAATCCCTGCGTAGCACTGTGGCTTCCACTCCCCGCCCCTGGCTGCTCTCACCCAGGCATGACTGCAGACAGACACACCATGCACCTACGGGCACTCCTTCCGTCTGGACACTGAACGCTCCTCTACCTGACGCTGCCTGGGACAGAATTTAATTCTTCAACTTAGTGAAAATGCTGATACTGTGGTTTTCCTGCTCAGGTAATTGGAATGTCTTTAACAAAGCCCAGAGAGAATTCTACTGGGAATCAAAGCCCTAAAACTCATTTTCAGCTCTCACGCATGTTTTTTAACAATACTGACTGATCTCAAGAGTAAGCACCATGATCAAATCTTTAGCCTCTCCAAACTCAAAACTGTTATTGACTATTATTATTCAAGACCAAATACAAGGTGAAAACATAAAGAAGGAAGTATACTAGAGAGAAACAAAACAATGAAAAGTTAAAATGATCTGCAAATAATTAAAAATCTAAGATCACAATCACTTAAACTTTTATAACAAAAGAAAAAACTAAGGAATGTTTATCTTTTTATGGTCTTACTCCAAAACAACATTGTTATAGTATTACTAAAATCAATACTCAGATCTATCCAATTGTTCCTAAATATTTCCCAGATGACAATTTATGACATTATTCACCCAGCAGGAATCTCTTAAAATTGAATGTATATGAAAATGTCAAAATGAAATGAAATACTCATCTCTAAAGGGGAGTTATCTGCACCTTTCTATTAACACGTCGTCACTGTACAACATACAAGGACTGAGATCTGCTCTAAACCAGTCCGCAGACTCAGACCCTAGCACAGCCTGAAGCAGGCTGCTCTGGGCACAGTGACCAACAGAGCAGGCACACGAAGTACTCCACGCTCCTCAGGGACAACCTCGCTCACAGGCATGATTCGGGAAAGATCCTTTCTCCAGCCACACAGGCTGCGATACAGCCCCACCACGCCCCGGGTCAAAGGGCTTTGCTGGTAGGAAAGACACCACCAGCTCTGACTTACATCCACCCCTGCACACAGGCAGCCCTGTGTCCCTTTCCCACCTGCACCCTAAGCCTCCAATCTGCCACAGGGACGGAGCCTAGCTCAGCGTGGCGGCTTCTCCTGAAATCAGGGGTAAGACCAGAGCAGGATAAATCCTAGGGGCCTGGTGATGCTGCCTCAGCCGGGTCTGACCACGGCCTGGCTGGAGCCGGAGACCCACCAGGAAGACAGTCTGGCCGGGCCCTTCTGCCAGCATTGGCTCTAGTACTGACGTAGTCAGGAGAGATAACAACAGGCTAAAATACTCATCTGCACATACCAACGCTCAGAGCCTACGCAGGCCACACAGCCAGGAGCTAGGGCAGGGGCTTCTGCCTGCGTCACTGAAGCTCAGAGGCTCCCGGGAGGCTCAGGGCACCGCCCTCAGCTCGTTTAAAGACAGAGCTGCAAACCCAGTCATCAAACAATAGCTCTTATCGTAGAGGAAAAATCAGTTAAGAAGCCATTTGAGCCGAAACCGGTTTGGCTCAGTGGATAGAGCGTCGGCCTGCGGACTGAAGAGTCCCAGGTTCGACTCCAGACAAGAGCATGTACCTGGGTTGCGGGCACATCCCCAGTGGGAGATGTGCAGGAGGCAGCTGATGGATGTTTCTCTCTCATCGATGTTTCTAACTCTCTATCTCTCTCCTTTCCTCTCTGTAAAAAATCAATAAAATATATTTAAAAAAAAAAAAAGAAGCCATTTGAGAAAAGGGGTTTTTCTATACAACTAAGTATAAAAACATAAATCATCCTAAAAAACAGAACTGCATACTGAGAGAAAAGAACCTGAAGACACGAGACCTTAAGGGAAACTGCCCTGAGTGGTTTCTGAAATGGATGAAGCACAGGCTGATTTGGATGAAAACCATAAGCAGCAAAGGTGAGCAACTTTAGGGAAAAATAAGAACTACTAACATTTTGCAACTTTATGCATATCTGGAACTGCTGTACCGCTTAAAGGTGAGTTTAAACCTGACCCATAAAAAGCAAATCCCGTGCGATGAGCCCCTTCCATTCTGACAACCCAGGGCAGGCCATCACCTACATCGCACTAAGGCAGCCTGGCCAGTGGCTGATGCAAATGTGCTGTTATCTTGTTTTGTTTTCAACAAAGGCAGCATATTTGCCCCCACAATACAAAGCCACTAACGAAGTGAAGAAAACGGAGCGTGACTTTCCTCACGCCTGAAGTCGAATTCAGCGATACTTTCTGAGCAATACAGACATGATCTACACAAGGCCGCCTACGCCTCCCTAGCTTTGCCTATTCAAAGAGATGAATATTTTTGCATTCTTACCTTTTCACTGAAACACTCAAGCAAGTCTTGGACATACCCTCGCATCTCTTGCAAAAACTTATACCGTTCACCAATCCCCCCAGAAGACCCTTCGAGTCTCTCAATGGCCCTGGTGGAGTCCACGCGGCTTTGCAGGTGCTTCTCGTGCTGCTGGCGGTTTGCTTTGTGCACGTCTTTCATGGAGTCCAACCTTGGGAACACAAAGGATACATACAACACGCTTACACCCCAAACCTATGCCGGCAGGAAGCTCACAATATCAAAATGCATTAGTTCCACTACTAGTTTCACAAAAAAATACTTGGAGTGGCATCTTTTCATCTGAACCGCTTTCCTCTCAAGAAAAAAACAAAACAAAACAAAAACCCCCAAAAACCACAGGCAGCAGGTTACAGGCTTCACAGGGTTCGGTGGGCTAACCAAAGTTTCAGACTGCTCTCCCCCCATCTCCTGACTACACTTTTTCAGAGTCCAAGAGGCGCAAACGCAAAGTGTCTTCCACAAGATCACGGAGTGGCATTGAACATGTTCCGAGGCTCCCACAGAAGTCATCCAAGGAGGCAGCACAACAGTGACGTCGCCTTCGGTGGCTTTGGCCAGGCGGGCGTCTTCCTGCCGCCGCAGCGCCTGCCACCCAGACTACACGACGCTGAGGAACACAAAGCTAGGACAGGTCTTTAAGAAGCCGATCTGCCCTACCTGTCTTTAAGCTGTTTCTTTACCAAATCAATAGTAACGGGAGTCATCTCATTACTGGGAGTTTTGAAAGGGGCTGAATTATCTGTTTTTTGAGATTTGCCGTCAGAAGACCCATAGGCCGTGTAACTGTAAGGAATGCCGTAGGAGGAGCCGTAAGGCATTGTCGGGTAAGTATTCGGGTAGTACATGTTCACTTCCGCGGGCTGGCTGGCTTGGACCTAGAAGAGAAATGGAATGTACGTGAAAACTAGTGTCTAAAGCTATGGAAAGAATAATTTCACGCCTTTAGGGTTAAACACCACCACCACCAAATAGCAAAAATTATACTCATTTCCCAAACAGCATGTAACTAGAATAAATAGAGCTCTTCAAATCAAATAAAAGTAGGGCTGGCTGACTGTTCCAACTCTTATGGGATTATTGGATTCATTTCTGAGAATTCTCAGGAAAACAAATCAGAGAAACTAAGAGTTGAAGGGGACATTAGAAATAATCCAAGGCCACCATTCTATCGACGGAAGAAGATAAATTCCTTGCATGGCCACAGGATAAACAGACAAGCAGAGATGAGCGTGTGAGGCCCACCTGGCCCAGGACTTCCCCACTAGCAACAGAAGGGTCACATTCACGCACCCTTCCCACTGCACTTACTTGCGTAAAACAAATGTAGTGACTATTTAGGAAGGCGTTTGTCATCTACAGTAAGAGAAACCCATCTTCCACAAAGTAATTTCTCAAGTCAGAGCAAACAAGCGCTACAGGAGAGAAGCGCGTTGCTGGACAGCGGTCCTGACATCAGTGTGCTCTGAGGCACCTGCGGGCGGGCTGAGCGGATGTGGGCCCCACCCGTAGTGTCTCCTCTAGGCATTTCCCACAACTCCCTGACAGCGGGTGCTGCTGGCTGAAGAACCACTGTGAGAAACTAGAAATTCTTCCGTCATTTGACTAAAAGAACAAACTAGAATCCAGTTTCTTCTAAAAGCTTCTTGGATACATACCTTTTTGTAATTTTCTTAATTATGTGACTTGAAAATGACCAAGATTCAAATTCAATATGCAATATGTTTTAATTTTTACTTTAACAAAATAGGTAAAAAGTTTTTTTTAACTTTTTAAAATTTACTTTTTAACTCTTGAAGCTTAATTCTTTATCTCTCACCTGAGGGATGTTAATTCCTTTTCTTATCTGCTCCTGCTCCCATCGGCTGAGCTCCTCGTCCTGCTCCCCAGCGACTAACGCGTCGTCATCGCTCCCCTCAATGCCTGCCGTGGAAGCAGAGAGAAGCGCATCATGGCAGAGAGCAGAGAGGGGAGATGCTACCCTGACATTTCACAAAAATTAAGCAAAACTTCTGGTGCTGGCTCCACCTCACTAACACGTCTATTATGACCCCCACTCCCCCCTGCGGCACTGCGCTTGTCTTACACACAGTGCCCCTGGCAGCAGGAAGCAGCATTCAGGTAGCGGTTAAAACCTTGGGTGGGTTTCCTAACCTGTGGGCTTGGCAGCGGCTAAGCTGGGGAAGAACCCCTAATGCTGCCCAAGAATGCTGAGCCCGGGTACGGTTCATGCTGTGAAGGGCTCAGTGCTCTCCCGGCCACACAGGAGGTGCTCACTCAGGAAGGCACTTGTACCTCAGCAAGAAAAGTCCTCTCACACTAAACAAAGTTAAGTAATGTGGACTCTGACTTTATTTTCACTATCAAATCACATTTAATGGCAATGAGCTTTACTGTCCTGAATCGATCAAATTACCTATTTCCTCGGCAATTTTCTGTCTCTGTGACTTCTCTTTCACAGAAAACACTATCCGGCGTTTCTCATCGTCGTCTTCGTCATCGCTGGCGTCATTCTCATCTTCCCGAACAAGGCGGCCTTTCCCGGGCTCGCTGTCGTGCGGCGTGAAGTCCCCCAGCTCCCGGGCCATCTGCCGCTTCTTCCTGGCGGCATGTATGAACGCCGCGTCTGGGATTTCTCCTGCAGACAGACGGTAGGATCATAACCGTGTCGGGGCATGAAGTTTCCATTTTCCTGAGAATATGCAGAGTGAGTCACCTGACCGATAGCCTTGTCACAATGGCGATGTCCTAACGCCAGCTGCTGCACCCCTTCCCAAACGGTGCCTGCAGCCCACCGACTTCCGTCTAATTTAGTATAAATGGAAACTCAGTCACTAAGGAAACGAAAATGAGAACATAATGGCCATATGGGAAGATGTGTGCGTGGGGCAGTGGGGGGTTCACCAAAAGCAGCTTTATTTTAACTATTTTTTATCTTTCAGTAAAACAAAGGTAATAAAAATCCTATTAATAAACTAGAACATAAAAATTTAAAAGGTGCCCAAACCTTATGACCCCAAAAAACACTCTTTCATTCACAGTATATTTCTCTTGCAAATAATTTTCAGTTTACCTGTAAGCATATCTATACATATAAAAGGCTAAGCGACCGGCTGACCGGCTGGTAGATATGATGCGCACTGACCACCTGGGCGCAACACTCAACACAGAAGTTGCCACTCAGCAGCAACTTTGCAGAGTGCTCTCTTGCTCTCTGGGACCCCTCAGGGGATGTGGGACTGCTGGTTTCTGCCTGATCCCCTGCAGGCCAGGCCAAGGAACCCCACCTGCCGGAAGGACCCCACTCACTCCGCGCAGACATCCTTCGAGCCCTGGCGCCGCCCCAAGTGCGGCCGGCCGGGGGAGGGACTGAGGGAGATTGGCTCCAGGGTGTGTCCAGCCCATCTTGCCCAGTCCCGGCCACCTTCTAATTTCCTTTCAATGTGCATGAATCCATGCACCGGGCCTCTAGTTGACTATATAATCCTATACCTAGTTTTTCTTCATGCAAAAACACAAGCTTTCACCCTAGCCGGTTTGGCTCAGTGGATAGAGCATCAGCCTGCAGACTGAAGGGTCTCAGGTTCGATTCTGGTCAAGGGCATGTACCTTGGCTGCGGGCACATCCCCAGTAGGGGGTGTGCAGGAGGCAGCTGATTGATGTTTCTCTCTCATCGATGTTTCTAACTCTCTATCCCTCTCCCTTCCTTTCTGTAAAAAATCAATCAAATATATTTAAAACAAACAAACAAAAAAAACCCCACAAGCTTTCCTCCATGTTGTTATTCTGCATAAATATAATTAACTAGAGGCCCAGTGCACAAATTCGTGCATAAGTGGGGTCCCTCAGCCTGGCCGGTGATCAAGGTCAATCAGGGCTGATCAGGGGGTGGGACCGTGGGAGGTTGGCTGTGGGAGTGCACTGACCACCAGGGGGGAGCTCCTGCATTGAGCGTCTGCCCCCTGGTGGTCAGTGCGCATCATAGCAACCAGTCATTTGGTCAACTGGTCGTAACAGTCACTTAGGCTTTATATATCTCAGCAACTTAACAGATAAAGCGTAATCTACTACACAATTAAATTAACTGACCTTTTTACCTACAGTAACAATTGCCTTGCTACTTGTCAGATTGTTATTTTAATAGCTATGTAATATCCCTTCAGGTAAATGTACCTTCATTACTAAGCTATTCCTCTCTGGCTACATACTGTTTCCAAATATTGATCACTGCAATACTGCATGAGACATTGCTTCCTTGGGATAAACTTCTGGATATGGAATTGCAGGGTCATTTAAGGACATTTAAAATCATTGCCAATAGCTTAAGGACTGTACCAATCAGAATGCTACTAGATCTCTATACATGTTTTACAGCTTTACTAGCCCAGAGTAAGCGTTTTAAGTTTTATAAATGTTAATGAGTTAAGTACCTTTTTATAACTTAAATTCAGCTACTAAGCACTTAATTATTCAAAAGCTGATTAAACAGTAGAGAGATCTGCAAACTATTTCCTATAGAAACGTACAAAATGAAAGAAGCGTGGACAGAAAATAGCTGCTAGTTTTGCTTTAGTAGCAGCTCTAAAGGAGCTGACACCTTAACCTGAAACACACAACAAAGGCCTCAGTACCATTTATCCCTTTCCCCGAAACCCCACATTTGCTTTGACAACACCACTGCCTGTCTGACAAGGACCCTGGCAGTTTCTAGTCCTCCCACTTCTTTGCAGACGGAAACCCTGGCTTCACACGAGGACGTCGTAGGAAACACCACCTGGCTCACCCTTCCTCACTAAGGGCCTTCACGGCGCCCGCTCTTGCGGCGGGTGAGGACACACCTGGACGGAGAACATTCAAAGACGACAGAGCATTTGAAAAGGCTCCGCCGCCAGCCTTGGGCTTCTCTTCTTCCTTCTCGCTTTCCATGTCCATTTCGTCTTCCCCGTGCTCACCCACAGCAGCTCCGTCTTCTTGGCTGGGGTCCTTAACGTGTCCTGTTTTGTCCAAAGGCGGTTCATCTACAGTTTGGAAAAAATTAAAATGATTTAAAAACAAAAATCCATAAATTAAGGAGGGACTTATTTGATTATGGGCTCAATTCATTAAAACTTGGACTGTTTTGTTTATAAAAACCTCAAACCACTGATGTATGAAAATGAAAAATCACAAGACACACCTGGAAGATGGAAACAATACAGGGGACACGGAGCTGCATCTGAGGTCCTGCTCAATCCCATCTCGTTAACGTTATCAGAATTCACTGCGACTCCCTCTAAACTCCGAGAGGTCACTGTTTGTACCCCCTGGAAACATCATTTCATTTTCTACGTCAGTGTTTCATTAAACGTGAAGCTCACTCCAGGCAGCTTTTATCAAGAACAAAGTTTATGGACCAGACCAATCTCTCCAGGATGAATGGCCTGGGGATACCTTCTTAGTTCATAACCACTGCCACCCATCATCTGAAAGGCGGGCCCCAAAGTCACATTTACACGGTGGAACCCTGACCTCAGAGCCACATCTAAATATTTGAGACAGAGTTTGTGACCGAAGCAGAGATAACCTGACTTTCTTTCTGGGAACCTAGAACTGGGACACAGAGACAAGCCAGAGACCAGGTGGCACAAAGACCGACACGTGTGCCAGGAAGGGAGCTGCAGAGTGGCTGATGGTGCCGCCTGGGAGAGAGGAGACTCCTTCTCCAGTTCTAGTTCTCAGGTCATTCCCAAGGCCGTTTCAAGACTGCTCTCCTGCCACTGGGTTTTGAGAGCCTATAGTTGTTTACTTTACACCAAGTGTTTACTTATAACTAAATAGTCCTATTACCTCCTCCGTCCCAAGCAAAAATAAGAAAAATCAAAGTTTTCCACCCTGAAGCACTTGAACCCGGTCATGCACATAAAAGGCACAATGAATATAAGGAAAGAGTAAAATCAAAGTTTTTCCAAATATGAGATACCCTCTGTTGTTTCCCCAGCACATTCCCTTCCCAAAAATTGCTCCAAAAGTCCTCTCCTCTTCTCAAACCATATCCTCTCCCCGAGACAAGAGTCCCAGGATAACTCCCCACCCCCACTGCCCCCGAACTTCACCGAGAAGAGGCCCGTCACTCCGTCTTAGGCGCTTTAACTTTCCCATTACCATCCGAGCTCCTTCGCCACGGACTTCCTTCTGAAGTGCATTCTGAGGCTATGAGATTTTAAGATTCACTCTATCAGAGGTACATGGTTAGATGTAGTAAAAATACCCATTTCCTGCAGCTCTCAGCCAACATGAAATCAATGGCTTTTAACAGACAAAACAGAACTGCGGGGGTCAGCCGGAGCAGACACGCTGTGGTAAGGGCTGCGGCAGGCGGTAAGGGTTCCAGGTTCTGTCAGGTCACAGGTATTTGCTTGTGATGGAGCAAGGCCTGGTCTCCACCCAGTGACAGCTGCACTGTGGTCAGTGGTCAGACGCTCTGCTTCCAGACGTCTTCACAGAGGTGCTGGTGACCTTTCTCCAGGCTCCTGTGCCTCCGTGCCACTGCCTGCGCCGCTTCAGGAAACGCCCCACCGCACGCCCCCACCTTGGGCTGGCGCAGGCTCCCTCTCTCCGTCTTCAGGCAGACACACGCTTTGGTCCAATGCCCCTCTGGCTTCTGCCCTCTACTCTCTGCCAAACTCCCAAAGGAAGCAGCGGGGACCTGCTGCCTGTCCTCCGCTTCCTCACCCACCTGCGCCCCAACCCGGCAATGGCCTCTGTGCTCTCTCCCCTTCCTACCCGTCCACCTGCCAACAAATGGCTGCAGCCACAGCGACTCTATCCAGTGTCCCTGAGCCACGTGCAGAACGCCCTCCCTCCAACAGCAGAGCGTGGCTGGTGGGCCAGGCTCCTCCAGAAAAGACTGGCCACCCTGCCAACAGCCCTTCGTCGGCCCTTGCTTTACGGGCACTATTTCATACAACTGACCATCCCCATCTGGAAACGTCCGTCTCTTCTCCTTCAGCCTTTCTGGTTCCTGTATCTCCTCGTGAATCTCCTCTCTGTGTGTACGCTTTTCACAGGTAGAGGTCTCCGGTCCTCAGGAATGTTTTCTTCATGCTGTGCCCGCACCAATCCCATTTCCTTGTGGTTTCATCATCTCAATAAACACCAAACCTAAACCTCCATCTCCACCCGTTCCCTGGCTACTCCACTCCAATCCAGTTTAAAAGTGAACTTATCGTTTTAGGAACCACAACACGAGGGTTCAAGTCGGTGCTGCCCTTGTGCTGAAGGTCACACGCTCGGCCTGTCCGGGGAGGGCTGGTGGGCGGGTTGTGAGCAGGTGAATGACAGCCCCGCGGCGCCACCATTCAGGGGAACGACGACAATGTGTGCCCCAGACTCCGCCTCGGGGGGACACTGACCGAGTCATCTGGTGGGAGTTTGTGGAAGTGGAGACAGATGTCACAGATGGTGGCTTCATAAACCTCGTACCTACTGAGATTTTGAACCCCAACAGGACATGGCCCTTTCTCAGTCTCTCTTCCTGACCTTTCTTGTATTATTTCATCATACACAGTTGCTGGAAAAAACGAAGCAGTCTCCTCGACTCCAAGATAATTGGTTCCCCTAAAAATACTCCTCCTCCCATCTGCCACCCCCATTTCTGTACGTAATACATAATTATTCTCAGTCACCTGGCATGGAGCTCAGATTGAACCAGTTCTTTTTTAAAAAAAGTTATTGATTTTTAGAGAGGGAGGGAGGGAGGGAGGGAGAGAGAGAGAGAGAGAGATTGGTTGCCTCCCGTATGTTCCCCAAATGAGGATCACCCACAACCTGATCAGGAATCGAACCCACCACTTTCAGGGTACGGGATAATGCTCCAAGCAATTGAGCCATATCAGCCAGGGCTTTCCCTATTTTTTTAAAACATGTTTTTATTGATTTGAGAGAGAGAGGAGGGGAGAAGGAGAAAGAGATAAGAAATGTCAATCGACTGGCTACCTCCTGCATGTCCCCCACCAGGGATCAGCCTGCAACCCAGGCATGTGCCCTGACCAAGAATCTAACCGGCGGCCTCTTGGTGCATGGGTCACCGCTCTACCACTGAGCCACACCAGCCGGGCATGGCTATTTTTCAATCCAATGGCTAAAGCGTACATCAAACCTGCCAATTCTTCCCTTGGAATGTTTCTCAAATAATGCTTTCTTTCCATTTCTTCTCTTCCAACCACAGCTAACATTTTAAACTCATCCACAATTTCCCAGCGAGACAGGAAAAGCCCCCGTCTTGCTCAACTGAGATTCCTGACCCACCAGTAATGGACCAAAGCTGACCCTTGCGTTTAAAGTGCTTCAGGCCTCCAACCTCTCCTGGTGCCAACCAGGCTGCACGCGATACCAGGTTAAGGTTTCAAAGGCATTTATCATGTCAGCACCTCGGCAAGCCAGTGAACACAGCAACTCTAACCCCCCAGACACGAAACATCCTTCATAATCTGTCAACAACGTCCCTCTCACCCAAACCCCGACTTCCTCTGCAAGCGCCTGCTCTGGCCGGGCCGCTGCTCTTTCCCAGAACAGCCTGAGTCACCTCTGTCTTTGCTAACAGCCATACTGTCCCTCTTCCATGTTGAAATTTAAATTGTCAAAGTCCCAGCTGCAAACCTACTTCACCTATGGTGCGTTCCTCCTCCCACCTCTTACAAGTGTAGTTACCCTCAAACAATTCACTGGGCATTTCGCCAACAGTGGGTCCAATTATACATTTAAGTGACGTCTCCAAAATAGACTGCAAATTTGAGATCCAGTGATGTATACTTTTTCACATGAAGCCTGTAGCTGAGAAACTGGGAAATAGTAATTCTGTCTTTAATTCCTTAAAATAAAGGGCATTTACATGAGCTAAGTCAGACCACAGCACAGTATGATGGAACAGGAGCCTTGTCTGCAGTGTAGGCTGGGAGCCCACAGCCTCCTATGCTAGGCTGTGGAGTGAAGTCAGCACCAGACGCAGGGCCCTCCTACGCCTTCTCAGAATCAGACCCGGCACAGGTACCACGAGAGCAGAAAGCCTGTCTACAAACACACACACACACAGGAGCCTGTGTGGGCTCAGGACCAGGACAGCGAAGCCTCTCTCTGCCCCACGCAGGCTGAGCACCGGTAGGGAGAGGGCAGGAGGCAGCCAGTGCAGTGGGAACATCCCGGGGCTGTGACTCTCATAAGAGAACTGTATCGCCGCCCCCGTTTAGACCCAGGACAGTGATAGAGACACCCGACTAACCATGGGGTTCACAACACGCAGCAAACCCATCCAGTCCCACGAGAAGGCTGCCGGCGTGACATTCCCAAAGGTGCCTGCTAGTTTGGTACTTACTGTCTGCTGACGAGTTGAGTTCTGTCTTAATCTTCGATTTTTCAAGATCTTCTTTATATTCTTTCTTAAGTAATTTTACTATCTTTTTGCTATAACTTGATTTCTTCACTTTGAAAACTTCTTCATTTTCTTAAAAAAGAAATGAAACAAAGTCTGTAGCAACCATTTTTAGACACACGCTTCCCTTCTAACTTTTACATGATCTTATGCGCTTTTCAAGTTCTTTCAAAGATACACTCTTACACCCCAAGTCAGCTCATAAACTAATCTGGAGTAATGTGCACCCGAGACTTTTTAAAAGACAAAAAACATGTCAACTGCACTTTCCGATGTCCTATCACCTTCCTCCAATCGCCTGCTCCAGGAGGAAAACCACCGGGAAAGCCCTGAATGGGCAAAGGCCTCCGGGGCTGAAACAAAATATCCGAAACCGAGGCTGCTGCTCACAGAGCCGTCCGGCCTGGGAGCCAAACCCACCACCAGGTGACACACTGTTATTTCAGGACGAAGCTGACAAAACACTTTTCAAAAATAAGTTCTGGTGATGTCTCCCTCCTCTTCCATTTGAAGAGTTTAAAGTCACCCACAGACACTACCAAATGGCCCTTCCGTCTTCAAAACAGAAACAGCGATCGCTGTCCTCCTCTCGCACAGAATAAACAAGAACAGAAAGGCCGAAGGGAGGCCGCCCGCCTCACCCCCAGATGCAAACCAGATTCCCCAAAGCCTCGTCCCTCCTTCCACACCAGGGACTCGCGGAGTCACACAAACACCCCAAACCCTGAAGGCTCGGCGCGATCAGAACTCTAA